TACACATGTTCGGACTTAGTAAGAACGTCACACCTCAGCTATTTTAATATAGTTCCAACTTCGGTTACTTTCTAAGATATTGAAGAACAGTGGAGCTAAAAATGCTAGACAATTAACAAGTTTACAATATTTTAATAACTTTACAAGTATTAAATGAAAGATAAGTTCTATAATATTAATAAATATATTTTTGTTTCTCAATTTTTTTTTTCTTCAATTGTACAAATGCCCTTGCATTTTTTTAGCCCTTTTTACAATGTATAACAACACTCTTACACATATTATTCTACTAGGAAAATTTTAAGGTCCCGTTACGGAATCATTTCGTCGGGGTTTGTAACCGTTAGATCATTATGTAACCGTCAGAAATAGTATCTAACGGTTACAAACCCCGACAGAATGGTTCCGTAACGAGACAGTAGCATCTTCCCCGTATTATATTGTTCTATTATGCATGGTGTGTTCCTCAATCATTCTGAGTGAAAAACTATTTGTTGTCTCATCAATTGAAAGAGGGAATAACCAAAAATGATGAAGTGCAAGAATCCTTGGACTCTTTCCAAATTCCAAGGGGGAAAATCATCCTCATAAAATTCATTTCCAATCACAAGGGAATCCAGTCACCAATACTGGCTATGTAGTTCCCTTTGACTATGAACCCTACCACTACTCACATTCTAACATGCTAATGACCAAGAAATCAACACACTGAGGCCTCTAAGCAAATTTACTGCACCCCTTTCTGTTTGAAGCCCTTGAATTTGTCAACTAATGAAGACAGAGTGGCTACTCTCTCTTCCATGGTTATTGTTGATGGTAAAATTCGCCAATAAGACTACGACAAAGTAGTAAATGAAAATTAAAAATGAACACAACAAAGCTGAGAGAATTAAATATTTGCGTTTAATAAGATTGCACGCTTTTTGTATTGCTTTTAATAGCTTGTGATATATTCAGAATGTTTTCTAATCAGTGACGGATCTATGAATTTTACTCAGGGGGGGCCCGATTTTAAATGTTAAATTGTATTTTAAGTTGAAACGCTCATTTCATATAAAATATATTTACTATAAATATAATATCGATATATGTACTATCAAGTTTTTAAAAACTTAGAATATGTATCACCCTCAAACAATTTTTTTTCTTTAAAAAAAATGAGATTTTGGGTATTTATAATTTAACTTCAACATCTCTAAGTTATGGAAAAATAAGTTTTTTGGTTTAAAATTTGATTTAAATTGAATTTTTGCATTACATTGCATAACAGTTTTGTTGATGAGGTCTTATCAAATTATCATTTTTTAAGAAAAAAATAAATAAGATTAAATATATGTGATTACACAAAAAAAAAAAGAGTAAAAATTCAACATTAAAAAATGTAACAATCTAATTAAATGCTAGGTTTTATAATCACTAAATCGATTTACAATTAAGAGACGGAAAGAGTAATTTATTACAAATTCTAAAAACTTATCTAGAAATGTAGAATAAATGAACTGCTAGTACATTTTTTAATAAATAAATAATATTATTAGTATAAATTAAAATAATATAGATAATAGACAATAATATTTAATTAGCATTTTATACATATTTTAAAGTAATATATATATATATATATATATTGATTTTTTAAAAAAAAAAAAATTGAGGGGGCCCATGGGCCCCCTGGGCCTAGTATGGCTCCGTCATTGTTTCTGATGGATTGTTCATGTACATCCTATCGCAATTTATACATGTTGAATAGTAAAAATTCATCATGACTTCTTAATGAGTTATTATATACGTGGTAAGCGCTTAGGGAGTCTGCTCCATGCAAGGTGATTAGTGGCAATCCACCTTTCCTGGATGAGATTGGTAATCGATTTAATGGTACGTCGTCTCGAACTAGGCGGTGTGAGCTAATTCTGGCTAGCAACCCATTTCACATCGACTGGAGAGATCGACATGAAGGAATGCTTGTTCTGAGACGAGATCGACTTCAAGTAAGCTACATGTTGTGGTTGGTGCTGATGTGGTATATCGGTTATGAATGCAAGGCGGCGATCTTGGCATAAAGGGATCCTGGCCTAAAATTAGATCTGTGTGAAAGTCGCCTTGTGTTGTGATTAACATCGATGGTCATGGATGTTGGTTTCGGTGAAGAATGTCGACCTAAGTGCACATGCAAATCCTATCGAATTGAATCACAACACAGCGAAATCTATTATTAGGAT